TTTTTTTGTATTTTAGGGAAGGGTCTACAGGGTGTTCAGGGTCTCACTACTAGATCGGACTCATAGTGATCCACCTATTTACACCCCTGGCCCCTGCGCCTGCTTGCAGGCGCTTTAATCCACTAAACTATTTGGCCAGCTCTCATAGGTCCTTATGTTTCAGAGAAATTAGTCTTTTGTATATATTGTTTTTTGAAAAAGATTATGGGTATGGTGACACACACCTGTAGTATCACTATTCTGGGAGGCTGAGGCAAGAGAGTCATGAGTTTGTGCCCAGTCTGGACAAGTTAGTGACTTACCAAGATCTGGTCTCACAAAAAAAAAAAAAAAAAAAATGTTTATTTTGCACAAAAAGGGCAAGTAAAGGGGCTGGGGAGATGGCTCAGTAGAATAAGCGCTTCTCTGGCAAGCACAATGGCCTGAGTTCAATCCCCTAACCTCAGCACTTGGTAGGCTGAGGAAGAATTGCTGGAAGTCTGAGGCCATGACAGGCTACATATTGAGTTCAATGCCAACCTAGACTACATAGTGAGACCCTGTCTCAGAAACAAAGACAAACAAGCAAACAGCAACAACAAAAAAGCAAAAACACTGCACAGCCTTCCAATTAACCAAGAAATCAGTTTTCTCAGGAAATGTCTTAACAGTCTAGATTTTCACAAGTGGATTTTTAGTCTATGAAACCACTGCCTTTTGTGCTTTTCTAGAGGATGCAGTTCAATGATACAGAGCTTGCTAGAATACGAGAGGCCCTGGGTTCTATCCCTAGCAAACCTCCCACACATAAAAAAAGGATTTATATTTATATTTTATAATTATTATCTAAAGAGATCAAAGGATAATTCAAAGTGTTAATATGAGCTACCATCAAAATTCCAAATTACATACTTACTTTTTTAGTTCAGGGATCTCCGCTGGCTTTACAATTTTTATTAACCCCTTGAGTCTCTGTTGTTCTTTCCTTAGTTCAAAAGTTCTCAGGTGAAGTTTCTTCCGAGACACACCATCTAATGTGTTCCCTGATTTAATTTCTGACATGAACACATCTAATGAATCCTGAGATGCCGACTCTGAGAGAGCTGTTCAAGAAAAAGATAATATATATTCAGAAAGATGGTCCCAAATTTTTTTTTTTTTTTTTTTGGCGCAGAACCTGGGATTGAACTCAGGCCCTTGCGCTTGCCAGGCAAGTGCTTATTCTGCTGAGCCATCTCCCTGGCCCCTGTCCCAAATATTTTAAATTTAGCAAAGTTTCCAGAGAAAAGTCACAAGCATAAAGGTAGATAAAGACTATCACTCTCATTAGGAATAAGGAAATCAGTTGTAACTGTGACACATCGGGAAATGACGTTATCTTAATGGACTTCCAACCTTAACTACTAAATGAAAAGTAAATTAAACCAAATGATTACAATGTTCTTTTTAGGTCTTAAGTATTACTCACTAGAAAAAAAGTCTACAGTGCTTACTTTATTAATCAAGGTAACAACAGTGTCTAGCATAATGTACTATATATAGTAGGTGCACATAAATAATTGTTAATATCATTACCTTTGCTGGAAGCCTTGAGCCTCTCAGAAATTTCAGAAAGTTCTTTTTCAGCATCATTTAACTTTGCAACCTGTACACCCAAATTAACACAGCAAATATTTTACTTATTTCAAACATTATCATCCAATTTTCATAATTATTATTATTTATTTATTTAATGAATTTGATACAGGGTCTCACTACACATCTCTGACTCATAGTGACCCTCCCGTTTTCAGCCTCCCCAGTGCTGGGATTATAGGCATGCACTACCATGCCCAGACTTTAGTGGTCAGCTCAGCCTGAGGGCAAGGCTGGTGTGGCACATGGTGCCACGATATTTTCATAGTTATTATTGCAAATTTTAAGAACATTACTTCCTAAGTCCTGCTAAAGCTGCTCCATAAATTAAAATTTTCCATTTTCTTATGTAATCCTACTTGAATCAATTTATGAATTAAAGGAACTCAGAATTAAATGGAATGAAAAAAAAGAATTCAATAGAATATGTAACTTACACTTTACTCAAGTGAAAGCAATCAGGCATTCATTTTCATTGGTGAATCAAAAGGATAGATGTCTGGCAATGTTTTAATCTCTGAACATTACTGAATAAAATGTTAAGCGAATGCTACCTTAAGGTAAGGACTGCTGTTCCAGAATAACAGCATCATACAATACTCTTCAAAATCCCTTTCATTACTCTTAACCATTTTATTCATCTCAAAAGCCCTAATTTCTTCTTTTGTCTTTTGGGAGTAATGGGATATTTTTAAAATGTTCCTTAATCATTTTAACATCAACCTGGAGCAAAGGCTCTAGCAGCAAGCTAAATTTTTTTCCAACAACCTGGATAAGACTAGTTGTTTGTTACCATTAATTTTTTTTTTCTTTTCACTTTTATGTATTTGGTACAGGGTCTCACTATGCAGCTCGGACTTGTACTGATCCTCCTGTTTTCAGCCTCCCCAGTGCTGGGATTACAGGTGTGCGCTACCATGCCCGGACTCGGTCGCTGGCTCAGTGTTCCCCAGGGGCAGGGCTGGGGCAGCATGCAGGACTGGAGATTGAATCCTGGCCCCTGAGTTTGCCAAAGCAGGTACTTAGTCCCGCCGAGCTATCTCACTAGCCCTTGTTACCATTAAATTTATAGATACATATTTTTTGATTCCAGATTTATACACTACTTCTTTAAAATTACAAAAGGGATCTAAATAATGCATTATTTTACTTTTAAAATCAATGATAGAGGGCTGGTGAGATGGCTCAGTGGTCTAAAGCACCTACTTAGAACAAGCTAAACTAAGCAAAACACAGGGACCACGGTTCAATCCCCCAGCACCACATGCCAGCCAGCCCCGCCCCCTGGTGGGCTGAGCTGGCCACACACACA